GGCTGTGTTAGTCCCCCTCGCCTCCTGAGTCAGCTGGTTACCCGCTGGGTTTGACCAGTTGGGGTACTAGAAAGTAGGAAGAAGCCAGGGCATATCTCCTCCTCCCTCTCTAGCTTCAGCAGAGTTCCCAGCAAGCAAATGCATTTTCCCTCTGGGTCTAGCCCTTCAGACAACCCCACCATGGGCTCCAACTTCTGCCAGGCCCCCAGGACGTGGTCACACTCCCTCCTCATCTTTTGTCTCTAGCCCCGGGTGGAAGTGGCTGTTGTTGCTAATCCCTCATCTATCTCACTGTCTTAAATTGGGCTTCTCATCATTCCCATCTTCGGTGGAACCACGACTCTCAATTAAATCCCCTGCCTGCAAATATTTTTGTTTTCCTGCTTAGACTTTGCATAAAATAATAGCTTTATGTTCATTCCACAGAAAGCACGTTTTCCAACCATGCTGTCAACTCTGTGAGCAGCTTCAAATCCTCCCTATAAATCCCTTTTCTGCTTGTTAGTCAGAGCTTGTTTACAGCCGAGAACCCTGATGGTTACAATGACATAGGCAGCGGTTGGATTTGTGGCCACATGGTGTTGAATCAGAATCTCTGGTAGACCACCCCCCTCACCCCCCCGCCGGCAGATGTCCATTCTGAAAGCCACACAGGTGGCTGTGCTGCCCGGACTGGGCTGGGGACCACTAATTCAGTGAATACTGTTGTCAATAGACATGGCAGAGCAGTGGATATGGTTTGAGCATTTGGAGTCAGTCAAAAACCCATCATCTCTTCCAGGTTTTTACTACTTTTAGAGCCAATATGCAGTTAGAAATAATATCTCACAGGAAGTATGAAAACAACATATTTGTTTCATTGAAATAATGATTTAATTAGTGTTTACGTTCATCAAGGGTCAAGTTCCTATAAATTATAAAAAAGAAAAGTAACTTTATATGTCTGTTGCTGCCATTAGAATATGAGCTTCTCAAATGCAAGGGCTGTTCTACCTTCAGTGGTGTTCCCAGCAGTTAACCAAGTATCTAAAGTAAACAAGTGCCCGATCAATGTTTATAGGCTGCCTAACCGACAATACATCACAAAGGCAAAGCTGCAGTTCGCTCCAAGTATTATAAAAACAAGCACAGTGTTCTTCATACGGATAGGAGGAGCTGCACTTGCTGTAAAATATACAAAGGACATAAACAATTACTCTTCAACTTTATTACAAATTTGACCTAACTCTCGAGTAGGTGCCAGAATGACTTGGATGATTTAAGTAGGATCATTCCTGGGAGGTGAAATGGAAAGGATTAGGAAGCCATTTCAAAAAAATCTAAAAACCTCAAGTTGGGAATCAGTTAATAAAAAGCTTATCTGAAGAAAAAGTGCCAATATTTTATTTGATGCTTAATAAAATAGAGCCAGTAGTTAGTCTTCTGTTAAAGCATTGAGTCATTTGGATGGAACAGTTTTAGTCCTTAAGAGCAGTTTGCAGTAGACTGAACAAAAATCTTTCAAAAGTCCCTTAACATCTTTCTTGTGATTTCTCATGATTTTTTCACAAACCCGAGTTCCCTCCCTCACCAAGTCTTTGGGATTAATGAGGATGTGATATCAAAACCAAACGCTTTAGTAGAGAGAGCCAGCCTTATACCCCGAGGAGCAGTACTTTCAGCTCTTTGTAAGAGCGTTTTCCGATAGTTTCTAGCCTGTTCAGCCTGTCTGCTTTTAGTAAAATGAAGTAAAATAAATAAATAAATAATTAAACCAGAGACAAGGCTTAAGCACCAGAACTTAACACGCTCTCCCCAATTACCGTCTGATTTATGGAGAGCGCTTAGGCAGCGCGAAGTAGCAATGGCTATCCCAGGTGATTTTCTAGGTCCTGAAGAAATTTAGTGTAATATAAACCCAACCATTAGCACAACAGCAAAGTATCTGTTACCTCTCAATGGAACGTGGATTGCTGGAGTTCTAGAGAAGGGCACTTCTGTTTTTTTCATAGAAAATTAGCTTAGGCTCTGCAATGTAACACTACCCAGTTCGTTTCAGAAACTGTCCTTTTGTTACCAAGAAATATTTGAAAAGAAAATGAAAGCAATTTCATTTCAGGGTAGGGAGAAAAAAATTAGGAACTAGGGAGGCAACGATAGAAGAAAATATTACAGTAGATTATGTTTGTTCCCTAACCAGGAAACTGGGGCCAGTTCTCAACATTTTGGATTCTTACTGGGGCCATAAGGAAGGAAGGAAGGAACTTTCGAGACTGTGAGATTCAACTTCGTCTCACATGAAGGAGAAATTCTTGAGATACCGAAAGTCAGCTCCTCTTCTATTCCACTAGGATGTGATAATCACTAATTTATGATTGCAGATATTTTTATTTCCCTCCAAAAGTGGGTTGTAATTGCATCTGACAGCCTCTACTGAGAGACTCCTGTGAAGAAAGAGCTGTGCCTGGCGTGGTGAGAGACACCAAGGTGAATCTAACAAGGTGGCTTGGGTAAACAGAAAGAACTTGAAGGCATGCTTTCATTCAACCTCCACCACTGCCTCGCTGGGTAACTTCGGGACAGTTGCCTACCTTTTTGGAGCATTTGTTTTCTCAAGTTGAAAATGCCAATAACAATACCTACTTTCTCAAGGTGTTTCTGAGGATTGGAGGAATTAACATATGTAAAGAGCCAGTGTAGTACCCAGCATAGAGTATGTGCTCATGAGATTTTGTTTGCTTTTCCTTTCCTTTCATCACAAGAGTCTCTAGCTTTTGAGAGAAGCAGGTATGAAAAGTCAGTATAGTACAAGGTGAACTGAAGTAAGAAAAAGTAAAGAAAGTTATCGCCTCTGAGAGGAAGGAGGCGCTATTAACAAGAGGGAGAATTGGGGAAGATTCAGTGTAAGGAGCGATGTTGAGTCTGGGCTGTGCTGAGTGCCTTTGGAGATGTGGGGAATGTCTGTGTAGGGGGCACAGGCTGGCTGGGAGGGAGAGGAGGTGGCAGTGCCAGGGGAGGTTATGGGTGAAGAGACCAAAGTCCTCCCATGCCATCCCGCCCCAACCTGACTTGGAATGTGACAGGTGTGTGGGACATTTGGACAGATGTCTGTGTTTAATGAGAATGCAAAAGCTGCTTGGGAACAGATTGTGTGGGACCGCAATGCCCAGGACTTTGAACTTTATGACATAGGTTGGGAGGACCACTGAGGTGATTGAACAAGAGGTTGATGTGCTATGACCTGCATGTGTTTTTTTGTAAAATCTCTAGAGCAGTGTAACACATTGAGAGGAGAATTATAAAAATTTGAACTCATCTGGATACCCAAGATCATCCCCAGACTCATCTTCCATGGAGGGGCTGCCAGTGAGAGGGATAAAAATAAAAATAGCAACAACAAAAATAATGATAAATACTTTTTTTAAAAAAGCACTTCCCACGTGCCAGACATTATTCTAAGCTCTTTACTCATATCAACCCCTGTATTCCTAACTACTTCATAGAGTTCTGTGGAGTAGGTGCTCTCATTACCTTCATTTCATAGATGAGGTTCAATGACCTGTCCAAGGTCATGGCAGAGCTGGGTTTTGAACTTATTCCATTGACTCGAGGTCAATAACCACTGCGCCATCGTGCCTGTACAGCAATGTCTGGGGTTTATTGAGGACTGGTGCTGCAGGAATGGTAAAAGGACTAATAACAACGTGGAAAAGTAAAGAAAGGAGAGGGAGATTCAGATGGAGAACATCAGAGAAAGGAAACAATTGCCTGGGGGAGGAAGCACCAGAGGCCCTACAGTAATAATCTCAGGTACCACTGGGTGCTCCCTTGGCCATGAACTCTGCACCCTTATAGAGAAAGCTTAGGTGTTCTGAAATTTAGCTCATTACCGAAGGGAGGATTTCAGGGTTGGTTGTGATATAAGTAAATAATCAGAAATAGCTAAGCCTGCCAGGCATTGCACAGTGCCTTCACTTTGAAAAGCCAGCAGTTGGAAGAAGTGAAGCGGAGCGTGAAAGTAACGAAGTGGGCTGGGTTTCTGATTTGGGAGGGAGGATTCTGTAAATTATTTAAGGCACTTCATGACCAGATCCAGGGCAATTAACCGAAACTGCTTCCAAATCTACCCTACCTCCCCTAGTGTCTACATGCCCAAATTTTGAAGACACAGAACTTGTCCCAGTCTGCCTTTTTCCAATGCTCCCCTCCCTTCCCCAGTTTGCCCTCAACCCAGGAGGGTGGCCTGTAAGGCCCAGATCACCGGGCTCCCGGTCTCTGGCCTCTGGTTGGGCTCAGGCCTCGGGAGCCCCAGCAGGCCACTGACAGGAGGATGCGAGGTCAGGACACTTCTCCTCTCTGCCCTGACTTCCCTCTGAAGAGGGGCTGGCTGTCTCTCTTGACTAAAGCTCTTTGCTTCTCATCAGGTAGCGTTCTCTTAAAACTCTTCTGGGTTTTAAAAACCAATCTTTCTCCTTGGCTCTTTGGGCCCAGAGGGGGAAACAGCTCAACTGTTAATAATCTTGTAGTTTTCCTCGATCTCTCCTCCTTGCCCTTTTAACTAGACCCTTGGTAACTCTGCCCTCAATTGTGATTGTGTCATCACTTGCCTTTGGGGACTCTGATATCGTTTTCCATTATGAAGGCCCCTTTTCTCTTAACTCTCATAAAACTTGATTTTTATCCCTTTGAAGGTACAGTTTTTTTTGTTTGTTTGTTTTACAGATTACATTATTTGCATACATGTTGTAAATCTGTCCCTTACTGAATCTCTCCATGAACGTTAAAGGAATTGCCTAATGACAAGGACACAAAGAAGAAAGTTATCGCATCATTTCATGTTCTCTTAAACGTGCTGATTATGTTAACATTAAAACCAAAGTTCTTTCACAGTAGGGGGGAAAGTTACTTCCCAGCACTGAGCTACAGTGTCGGAACTGAACCACGGACAGATCTGGGCTCTTGCACCTTCGCCCCTCACACAGTCAGGAGCGTGTGCTGATGGTGCGTCTCGTGTGTTGCAGGCCGTTCTCTGTGGAGCCGTCTGTTGGAACTCTTACTGTGGGAGAGTCCATGCAACTGGAAGTGGATTTTGAACCACAGACCGTGGGCAATCACTGCAAACGGCTGATTGTGTATTATGACACAGGTAAGCATTATCCTTTATTCCAAGTGCTGCCTGTTAAGAAAGGTCAGATGGAGCCAAAACCGGTTTGGCTCAGAGGTAGAGTGTCGGTCTGTGGACTGAAAGGTTCCGGGTTCGATTCCGATCAAGGGCATGTACCTGGGTTGCAGGTACATCCCCAGTAGGGGGTGTGCAAGAGGCAGCTGATCGATGTTTCTCTCTCATTGACGTTTCTAGCTCTCTATCTCTCTCCCTTCCTCTCTGTAAAAAATCAATAAAATATATAAAAAAAAAAAAAAAGAAAGAAAAGAAAAGAAAAGAAAGAAAGGTCAGATGGAAAACATGAGGACGCAAAGCAGGAAATAGTTATTTTGGCTGCATGAGAGTAAGCCAAGATCCACCAGGTAAAGAACAAAAGAATAAATGCCTCCAACAGAAATAATGTTGAGGCAGATAAAGATCCCATCTGACTGGTTTCTCCAATGTTTATGAAATCCAGGGCTCAGGAAGGAACCTACACCCAGATGTCACGTCAGTAGATTGAGGAGGTTATTTATGTGTAAATTGACTTGAAGATAACTTAATACCCCAGGTGTTTTCCATTTGATTTATTGCTGCATATGTCTGACATTTTGAAAATATACGTCCCAGTTCAGAATGGTCTTATGTGTGTTCACTAGTCTATGCAAGATGCAGTTACTTTAATCCTTAGAATGTGCAAATATCTCACTTCTTTCTTAAATATAGTATAAGAAGGTGACTATTGCCACAGCAGTTTCTTGAAGGCCATACCCCGCATAATGGTGGGAATTATTCATTTAATTGATGGTCATGTAGACTGCATGTACAATATGCAAGTACCCAAAGTTGTTTTTCAAATTAATATTTTTACCATTCCCATTTATTACTTCACATCCTCATTTCCTTCACATTTCTTTTTTAACCGTTCACGTTGAATGATCCAGGTTGTCTGCGTGAGAAGGGCGTTTGTTGTAGGGAGAAAACAGAAGACACTGAGGTCGCAGCTCAGAGTTGCTGGCCTTGTGGATGCGTACATAGCTCAGCAGGACAGTTCAAGCCGTTGCATAAGGACACGTGGCTCAGAGGTTCTGGCTCTACATTGCCCATCATAAAAACTGCACGTAGCCAGGGGCACAATCTATATTTCTTACCTTTTAGTGCTGGCCACAGTTCACTGGCTGCTTGCAAGAGAAACCTAAGCTGAACTAGCTTAAGCAAAGGAGAAGTTTGGGCCCAGGTAACCCAACAGAGGAAGGTTAAACGCTCCGTTTATGACATGTCAGGAACATTGATTTTTTCCAAAGAAGTCATGCCATTTTACACTTCCATCAACAAGAGTGAGTTCCAGTTGCTCCACAGCCTTGCCAACACCTGGTGTTATGTTGTTCATCTTAGATATACTAGTGGCATAAAGTGATGTCTTCTAGGGTTTAAATTTTCATTTCTCTAATGATTAATGACATTGCGCCCCTTTTCATGTGCTCACTTGCCATTCATATAAGTTTTTATTATTAATTTGTAAGAGTACTTTAAAACCTTTATAGTCTGAATACTAGTCATTTGCCAGATGTATGTATTGTTAATATTTTCTTTCAGACTCTAGCTTGCCTTTTCATTTCCTGAATGATATTTCTCAATGAGCAGACATTTTTCATTTTGACGAAATCTATATGATCAGGTGTTTTTTTCTTTTAAAATTAATGCTTTTTGCCTTCTTGCTAAGAAATCTTCATCTTCTCCAAGATCATGAATGTACTCTCCTATGTTTACTTTTAGGAGGATATTAATTTTAACTTTTATGTTTAATTTAGTGATTGATCTTTGATTTCATTTTTGTGTATGTGTGAGGTAGGGACCACGTTTCTGCCCCCCTCACTTCCCCATATGGATTATTAGCTCTTCTCCATTCTATTATCTTGTTCTGAAATTTTAATTAATTACTCTTTATTCTAATACTTAATCTATTCTTACTCTGTTATTTATTCTTTTTAACCTTTCTTTTATGTTTTCTATTTCTTTGTCTCTGTGGACATCTCTGGATACTTCTTACCTATTCAATAATTTACTCTTCAGTGAAGTCTACTGAGTTTCAATTTTGTAATTATAATTACTTTCATTTCTGAAATTTTTATTTGATTCTCGTTTAAATCAAAGTGCTCTCTGCACTTGTTTTTCAAGTATTCCTTTTATTTTAAAAATACATTAAACTTATTTATATTTATTTATATTCTGTATCTGATAATTCAAATATATTGTCTATTTATAATTTATTTCATTTACTGCTTTTTGTTATTGATGATTTTCAACAATTTTATCTGTGGGGATAGGAATTATGTTTTTCTTAACAAAAGGCTTTAGGGCAAAAGACAGCTTTGGCACTACATTATTTCCTGCGATTCTTCACTTCATTTTGATGATCTTATTTTTAAAGTTGTTTAAAAAATATTTTATTGAATGTTTTAGTTGTTTTAATCTCCAGTGTAATTTAATACTTAAAACTGCCTCTAATTTGTCTTTTCCACATTGTTCAATGTTATTTATAGACTAGTTCATTCTTTCCTTCTACAGAGTTACTTTACAATCCTCTCCATATATCATATTATAAACATGGTTTATCCCTCTATATGTTTAGGCTTTCTTTAATTTCAGCTGTAGTTTTCTGAGTAGAAGTTTTGAACCTTATAGTTAGAGTTAGTCATATATTCACTGGTTTTTTATATTGATATGATTTTAATTACATTTTATTTATAGTATATATAATTTAGATGCACGGATTTTAATTGTACAGTTTGATGTGAGTTTTGACAAGTGTAAATACCTGTGTACTAGTAACTACCACCCCATTCAGGATACAGAACATCTATTATCTCAAAGTTCCTTCATGCCTTTTCCAGTTAATTCCTTCATCCCCATCTTAGATTTCTATTACCCTACATTAGTTTTGCTTGTTCTTGGAATTCAAATCAATGTACTGATAATATATATATATATATATATATATATATATATATATATATATATGTCTTTCAGTCAACATAATGTTTTTGTGATTTTTTTTCATGTTATTGTGTATATCAGTGATTCCCTTTTTACTCCTGAGTAGTATTCCACTGTATGCTCATACATAGCTTATCCATTGTCTTGTTAATGTAACTTTGGAGTGTTTGAAGTTTTTGGATATTATGAATAAGCCATTTTTCTACAAGATGTGTGTGTGTGTGTGTGTGTGTGTGTGCACGCGCGTGCGCACATAAACTTTTATTTTTCAGGTAAATGTTTAGGAGTAGAATTACTGGATTGTAAGGTAGTTTATATGCTTAATTTATTTAAAAAAAACTTCAAGTTTTCTGAAATGGTTGAAGCATTTTATGTTTCCACCAGCAATGTATGAGGATTCCAGTCATTCCACATCTTCATCAACTCTTGGTCATTGTCAGTCTTTTAATTTGTCATCCTAGTGGATGTGAAGTGGTATCTATTTTGTTTTAAATTGCCATTTCCACAATGACTAATAATGTTGAGTATCTTCTCATGCATTTTTTTTTTTTACTATTTTTATGTCTTCTGCTTTAAAATGTTTATTCAAGATTTTTACCTATTCTTTTATGGATTGTTTGTCCTTTTATCATTGCATTATAGTCTTTTATGTATTCATTTTTTTCTTTTATGACTAGTGTGGTATTTTTTTCTAATTCTATTTTCTAAACTTTTGTGGGTATATCAAAATATAGTTGAATTTTGTGTGTTGATCTTTTATCTATAGACCTTGATAAGTTAACTTATTAGCTCATGATTTATCTGTAGATGATCTTGCATGTTGTATATATATAATCAGGTCATTTTAAGATGATAGTTTAACTCTTTTTCAATTCTTTTATTTTTTATTGTGTTTTGCACAGGCTAGGCTTTTAGTACCAAGTTCAATGGAAGTGATGATAATTAATGTCCTCTTGTTCTTGAACTCAGAGTGGGAAGTGTCAGAGTTTCATCATTTAATATGATATCTTTAGTATATACTCTCCATCAGTTAAAGAAATTTTTGTATTTTTAGGTTTCTTTTAATCTTGAATGGGTGTTGAATTCCATCAATTACTTCTGTATTTGTTGAGATTATTACATATTACTTCACCTTTATTCTTCAAATGCAGTGATTGGTTTTCAAATGCTAAATCAGTGCAATATTCTGGGATAAAACCTAAATTTTAAATGTCATTGTCTTAGTTAATCACTGGATTAGATCTGCTAATAATTTGTTTGAGAGCTTAGCATCCAAATTCATAAGAAAGATTAGCCTGCCATTTTCTATTAATATAATGCCCTTGTCTTTGGTCTTAAAAAGCCAACTGGTCTCATAAAAGAAAAGAAGTTGGGCATTATTCTCCTTTTTTTATTCTCTAAAAAGAATCTTTAAGTTTCTTGTTCTTTCTTCCTTAAATGATTGAAAAATTCATTATTCAAGCTATTTGACTTAAAGCTTTTAAAAAATTATTCAGTTTCTCAGTAGACAGAGATCTAAGATTTTCTATCTTGTTCTTGTATAATTTTTGCTGAACTTTTTCAAGCAATTCTCCTAAGAAAGTATGTGGCTTGCCCAAGGTCACATAAGTAGTCAGAAGAACAGTTAGAACCCTGACTCAGTCTGGTGCAGTGAGCTTCCCACAGTAGTGGGTCATCTCCCCAGCCTCTCACATTACTGCATTTGCATTTTTACTCCCATAATCCATTTACTTTGAAATGCAGCTGCATTCTCCCAATGGTCTAGATTTTATGTAAGTATTTGGATTGGTACCATATTTACATTTATCATCCTGTGCTAAAGAAAATGAATGTTTGTGTATTAAAAGTTAGTCATCTGTGGAGAAGTTGATTTCCATACCCTGAGGTTCTGGTGTCAGCTTGGTTTCCTGAATAAAGTTGTTTTCTAAAGATTGCAGACAGAGGTGAACTATCTTGTAGCAATTTTCCTCACATGAAATAAACAGCTGATAAGAATATGCTTTCAT